AGAGAGAGAGACCTATTTCAGGGAAAGGTTAAGATCAGTGTCTATCACTTATTTACACATTCATTGATTCTTGTGTGCCCTGACTGGGGATTGAACTTGCAACCTTGGTGTAGGGGGAGGGCGCTCTAACCACCTCAGCAACCTGGCCAGGGAAGCACTTGCAGAATTTCAGCAGCTTTATTGAGAGCTGCATCTCCCCCGCCCAGCTGGTGTCGCTCAGTGGGTTGAGCATGGACCTATGAACCATGATGTCACCGTTAGATTTCCCCTCAACGCACATGCCCGGGGTGGGGGTTTGATCCCCAGTAATGGGTGTGCAGGAGGCACCCGATCAATGATTCTCTCTCATCGTTGATGTTTCTACCTTTCTCTCCCTCTGCCTTCCTCTCTGACATCAATGAAAATGTATTTAAGAAAAAAAAACACAACTGCATGTCCTGTATCAAAACCAAGAATGTGCTTATCTAAAGCAACGGGCAATTGCTATTTTGTTTGATTTGCTTTAGCAGCTGCATCCTGTGTCAGGCGCTCCTGCACCAAAATGCGAATTGCCGTAATCATTACCAGGCAATCATTATGATTTTGAGTCTGAAGGTTAGCTAAAACCATTACACCAGCCTTAAAATCAGGTTTATTTACATCCAGATTGATGAACGGCTCTGCATTTTTAGCTGCATTGTCGGTGTTCTTTCCCTTTTCTTCCCCTGTGAAGTCAGAACGCTCCAAAAGCTGTCTTTTAAATATCTCAAACCTGAGATTAGTGGTGCTAAAGTAAATGGACTAGTAAACTCACAACTGGAATCTATTAAACTATTTTATTTCCGCAAATAAATACATCTATTCAAATCTAAGGCAAAAATGACTACCGACGAGGATGGGATTCGAACCCACGCGTGCAGAGCACAATGGATTAGCAGTCCATCGCCTTAACCACTCGGCCACCTCGTCCCAGAAGCCTACCTCTTCCTGGTAGCTATAGGGAGTAATACTAGGGGCTGTGACGCAATATTATGATGGCAGCCATTTTGTACGGAAGCAAAGCGCGAACCTTTTTTATACCAAGTAATCAGAAGAAGATGGCTGCTCCCACGATATGGGAGGTCTGCAATGAGGGAAACAACAAAAAAAATTGGTAGACAACGAGAAACCCCGAAGGAGAGAAAATGGGCGTGCAGGCTGGAAAGGAAGCTGGGTTAAAGGAGCCTTCGGAAGGGGGCTGCCCCGGCGCCTAAGGGGCGGAGCCGACGCATAGAGCGGCTTTGCGCTTGCGCAGCATCTGGGCGGTTAGATTTGAAAGCGGCCCGGAGGCCGCCCGGCGCTGCGCGGAGACACCGAAGCCGTGGAGAACTCCTGGCTAATGACCACGGACCCCAAAAGGTCTGAGGAGAATTTGTCAAACGGGAGGCTCGGCAGGTAAGGAGAACGGCTTTCGTTCCGGGCTCCCGGCGGGGACGGAGGGGGCGAAGTTGGGATTGTCTGGGGGCCCTGAAAGTCCGGGGC